GAAAAACCAGTTCCTGAGGCAGGATTTCCTTTGCTTCCAAAATAGTAAAGCTGGATTATTATTCTCATTGGGTTTCAATACACACACCACATTATAAGCTTTCTTCATTCTCTCACTCTGTTATGCTCATAAAGCATTGCTTTTTATTAGGCACTTTCCCAACTCACTAGCTTTTATTCCGAAACTGAAGCCAACATTTTACAGTGAAGAGTAGAATAGTGATGAAAGTAGCTATGATCTACCTTTTTCATGTTTAAAAGTTCTAACAGAGGGGCTCATTTATAAAATCTGGAGCAAAAGAAAAATATATACGTTGCCATAACAGCCAAATGTCAATGTTTAAAATTTTAGAAACTGTATTGATGTTCTGCAGATAACGTAATACACTGTAGTATTATTTTTAAAGCTGAACTCTGGAGAAAAATCCTCCCCACTGCAAGGGTTAACTGCTCAGTTTGCATAAGGGATGATGAATATGGTGGTATACTTGCTACTCTCCTCCACTGTCTAACACTCTGGAATGTGGGCAAGCCTTTATCATCCTCCTGTACAATGCAGGATTGCTGGGTTTAATTTGTCTTTAAGCACAATGACAAACCTCCTATTGGCCATCTAAAAGTAAATTTACCCTAAGCCTTTAGAATTCTACAGCACACAGTGACAGCTAGTTGGGTGTGAAAATGGCAAACAAATCTGTAAATGTATTTGTACTTGTATCAATGTTTGTCAAAATATGAGACTTGTACTATTGGCAATACACATCTTCATTGTAGAGGGCACATGGCAGGGTTCAGCATTTATGTTAAAGAGGTTCTTCAGTCCTTCCCCCTCAAAAAATGAAAAATCAGCAGCTACAAATACTGTAGCTGTTGACTTTTAATAAAAGGAGACTTACCTGTCCAGGGATACAGCACTGTCCTCACCCAAGGCTGGCTCTTTGCCGGTCTCAGGGTCCCCGGTACTGCCATGCACCTAACTGTGGCAAGCTGGCAGTAAGGCTGGCCATACACTATACAAAGTTCTGCCCAATTTCCTTTAGATTTACCTTCAACTATGTAGTACAAGAGCCTGCCTACTTGGATACAATTTAAAGTTTTGTTAGGTTTCACCTCCTATTATATGAAAATTGTATAATGTATGGCCAACCTAACTCCTGCGGCTTCACAGCCAGTGTCCCAGCTGGAGTGAGCTGCACTCCGCCCTGTCGATGGTCCTGCAGCTTCCTGAGACCTGTGATGTGTACTAAGAGGCTGCAGGCCAGGGATGGGGTGGGGGAGGGGGTACTTCCTCCCCCAACCAAAAAAAAAAGTGTCCAAAAGTTGAAGAGAAGGGGGCAGAAAAGTGGAACTTCCTTTTGGTGTGAGGAACTGATTTAGGAAAAGGCCTTGTGGGTGGACACTAGATAAAGCACGTTGAACTACTAGACTGTCTTTAACCTCCAAAGTTGCCCCTAGGGCATTTTAGATGGACCTGAATGCTTATTAAATTCTATTTCAAAGATCAGAGTGTATATAGTTCATATCATTTGAGAGAAAGCGCAAAAAACACAGAACAAGATTCAAGTTGATAGCAGCTCTGTAGATGGGATATTTTCCCCGTAGAAACTGAAATCTGAATTTTTTGTTAAGTCCAAGATGGTTTCTCCTGCACCTGGCTATGCTTAGCACATCCTGAAGAGAAGCTTTAAGTACGCAGCTAAAAGTTGCAGGTAGCATAGTCACATTGACTCCAGTTCATAAAGTGCTGAGCACACCCACCAGTAGGTGGACCTTTGACATCCCATATACACCTGCCCCTATGGCCCTATTCACGCCTGAGCATTTTGTAGCTTGAAGCTCCAAAGCGCTTAGGGAGAAAAAAAAAATCAATATTTCTCTATGGAGACAGTTCACATTTCCACTCCAAGTCACCTGAAGCAGAATGCCTGAAGCTCAAAAAAGTTTTGGAGCTACTTTTGTAGCTCCATTCGGGCAGATTGGTGCATTTTCATTCACATAGAAATACATGGAAACATGCAAATTGTGCATTTTCATGTGCTTTAGTGAGTTATTATTATACAGGTCTTGTATAGCGTCAACAGTTTGTGCAGCGCTTTACAATATACATAGGTAATACAAGAGAGACAATACAGCTACAATACAATCAAAACAAGAGGATTAAGAAGGCCCTACTTACAAGAGTTTACAACCTACTAGGGTGGGGCAAGCGGTATGAAAGGTTATAACTGTGGGGGATGAGCTGATGGAAGTGATAAATGTCTATTCGGAGGCATGATAGGCTTCCCTGAAGAGATGAGCTTTCAGGGATTGCCTAAAGGCAACCAGAGTAGAGGATAGCTGGACAGATTGAGGGAGAGAGTTCCAGAGGATGAGAGAAGCTCTGGCAAAGTCCCGGAGATGAGCATGAGAGGAGGAGCCAAGGGAGCTGGAGAGCAGGAGATCATGAGAGGAAAGGACAGTTTAGGTGATACTTGGAGACCAGGTTGGTGATGTAGCTGAGGCAGAGTTGTGGATGGTTTTGTATGTTGTTAGTATTTTGAATTTATTTTGCTGGGCAATTGGAAGCCAGTGGAGGGATTGGCAGAGAGGGGTGGCAAACACAGAGCGGTTGGTAAGGCATATGATCCTGGCAGCAGCATTCATGATAGACTGAAGAGGGGATAATCTACGTTTTGACAGGTGACCAAGAGCATTTTTCAAGAATGGCAAAACATGGCAACAACTGATGTCACAGATGAAACTTTTCTCTATTGGCTAATACAAAAACACCAGAATTCAAAAAGCCCGAAAACACTCAAACAAATCGCACACAAACATTGACAAATGTCTAAACCTTTTTTCATCCCAATACTTTCTCTGCATTGAGATAAAACAATGCTCCACTAACTGTCCTACCTCCTATGTCAATAGACACTTACCTGGCTTTATGTAATCACTCCAGTGCCAGCTCCAGTCCTGCTCACCTAAATTCCTGGAGGGGCGTGGCTTACTAGTGCTGTGTAGGTCAGGTCTCCAAATGAGCACGCACACAGTTGACTCCTTAGCACCAACTTGCTACAGGAGGCAACCAAAGAACGGAAGAGCTGTCAGAAGTGATGGTAAATGATCTTTCTGTGCAATATCATTTGCGCAGAGCAGATAAATTTTACATCATTTTATTTTAAAAAATGGTGTCTTTGGTATCACTTTAATCAACTTTTTTTCCGTTTTGGATAGAGTAAGGGAGGGTTATAACACCTGTCAGGTTTTTTTCATCTGTGCCCCCTTGGGGAAATTTCCACTCACTTCCTGTCCCATAGAAAGTGAGGGGAAATCCCTCCAAAGTTTGGAAACCCCTGGTTATCACCAGGGTCACCAGAACTAGTGTCCCCATATGAAGAATTTCCCTTTTTTAACAAAACTTGGGATTTTCTTTCACTTTCAGTAATAACAATAAACAAGACAAACAGAGAGGATCAGTCTTCCTAACGGGGACACAGACAGCAATAAAAAACCTGACAGGTGTTCTAATCGATCTCTACTCTGTCCAAAGCTTGAAAAAAGTTTTTAGTTATACTCTAAAGTGTTGGTAAAGCAAGTTATACTTACCTGCTCTGTGTAATGGTATTGCAAAATGAGGCCTTGAATCCCTCTTCTACGGTTCTTCAATGGCATTCTGGGCTCCTCCTTTTTTTGTGTGCGCCCCCATAAGGAAGCTGGTTCCTATAGAGGCACACCTGCGGGCTTGCTCCTGAGCCTAGCTGTGCGCATCTACAGACACACACACAGTGTGGCTCTACCCCGGCACTTCTCTCTGTTCACAGGATTTGACTGACAGCAGCAGGAGCCAACGGCTCCTGCTGCTGCCTATGTGTCCTCTGTGAGCAGAGAGAGGAGAGAGCTACTGCAGACTGGCACAGTGCTGAATTCAGAAAGAACTTAAGTATACAGAGAGGTGAGGAGGCGATACAAATACAGGGACATTTTTCAACTTAATGCAAAGCATGTATTAGGGCAAACAAATGTCCTGCTTTTATAACCAATTTAAAGCAGTATTAAACCCAAAAGCAAACTTTTTTTTCTATTGTAGCTTACCAGTCCTTAGATGTGAAAGCTGCATTAGTTTTCATTCATTTTTCTTTTGCTTTCATTAGGCTTTCCTTTATTTTCAACTGGTGATCCAGACAGTGAAGTCTGTTGTTTTTCAACAGAACAAGCTTTACTCTAGATGTAGCAGTTTGAGGCTTGGAACAAACCATTTACCACTGACAGGAGTGCTTTTTATGGTCAGTTTTTATGTATTCATGTAAAACCGTTTTCCCAAAAGGAAAAAAAAAAATGCTGTAACTGCTTTTAGAGAGTTATCTGGAGTTTGGCTTCAATTTGTCAGTGTATTTAAATCAGCTGGTACATTTAACACTGACCTCCCCCTGATTGACAATGCTGCTGTCCAAAGGTGCTCGCTGTGGTCCTTCATTTACAGTGGGGGCACACTAATACAGGAGGTATGGCCAGATTACAGGTGAAAACAGAGGGGGGAAAAAGATTAAACAAAGGAAAACTAATGCAGTGATCACATCTAATGATTGGTAAGCTGCAATATATTACATTTCATTTTTTGGTTTTAATATTGCTGATGAGTTGATGTCTCCTTGTTACCAAATCTCTAGGAGCTACAGTATGTGCGAAAGCCCAGTTTCCTTTTTTGCTATGATACATCGTTGTGCAGCAATAGGAAGGAAGATCTTGAGAAAAACTGATTATCCATGTGTATTGGGCCAGCAACCCAACGGTGGAGTCAGCCAATAATGATGTCCTTAGTCTGCCCTATAGAAAAGCCATGAAGATTTCTATTCCTTGTTAAGAAGTATTTTCATATATGAAACATGATAGTATTCCAAAGGGTCCGAACCATTGTTTATGAATAGATTTGATGACTGTGGGAAAATGATTGAAGTTGTTACTTCTTTAATTCTGCTTGTGTATATAATGACTCTAACAAATATTTGCCTTGTTTTCTAGTTCTGTGAGACTGTCAAGAGGATTATCAGAGACCAAAGAAGCGTGTTTCTTTCCGCTGCCTTGGGCCTTGTGCTAATACTGTGTCTGGGAATGGAGCCTTCCACCACCCTCCCCAGTCTCTTCATTACGTTCGCTCTGTGGATGGCAAGCTAATGACAACAAACATTCCACACCTTGTATATAATGCCTCATGTAATATAGTATATATTTATAATAAACAGTGATGCAAAATGCATGTAATGCTTGTTTAAAAGATTGCATCGATCCTTTTTGTATTGTAAAAAATAATAAATTGACTTGCTTAAATCAAAAAGCCTGATTTCAACACCGATCGTGACACTTCCTTCCTGGAGTTTGCATGTTCTCCCTGTGCCTGCGTTGGTTTCCTCCCACACTCCAAAGACATGCTGGTAGGTGAATTGGCTACTGTCTAAATTGGCCCTAGTATGTGTATGTATGAATGTGAGTTAGGGACCTTAGATTGTACATCCCTTGAGGGTTAGGGACTGATGTGAATGTACAACATATATGTAAAGCGCTGCGTAACTTGTCAGCGCTATATAAGTACCTGTAATAAATTAATAAAAGCAACACAAAGATACTGAAACATAATTTTTTTTTTTTGTAGTGACTTCGGTGTAGAACACTATTGGGTCCCTTAACATGTATTTTACAAGATGCTATGTTACCATTTCATACCATTTTGGATCACCTGTACATTATACTTACTCATAAGGATATGAATCATGTCAGACATGTTCTGAGGATGCTTCTTTGCTGGAGGTGTGGGATAACACCAGTAAACATCATTTCCATAGACATCAGTAATCTCTATATTTATTAGGCTGTTTCCCTCTTAGTAGGTGTTAACAAGATAACCTGAAACAGGATAATTGGTATGATTAAAAGACTGAGCACCACATCCCCAAAACAAAACAGTATACCCACAAAATAAAAAAAAAAAGAAGAAATGGGGCTTTACCGGTGCTAACATCACCCTCAGGAAAAAATCAAAACATCTAAAAAAATGCATTTTATTACAAATCATTGTTAAGAAACCGCCGGGGTATACACCCCATAAAACACTGTAACATTAATAATCAGCTCAGCAACCCCACACCACCTCCCTTTTAAATACCCTAGACTCAAATAAACAATCACATGTGCTCAGGGGCAGACTGATCATTTGGAAACTCTGGCACTGCCCGAGGGCCCGGGGTCAGTTGGGGGCCCCATGAGATGCCCATGTTACCTTTTTCATAGGCTTTTTTGAGTTTGGGCAAGGACACAGGGGCCCCATGAGTTGTCAGTCCGCCCCTGCATGTGCTATAACATATTCTTTAGATACTTGCGTGAGATATAGCCATGATGGGAGGTGCTTGTATCTAGACTTGTTTCACCAGGTAAGCTTCTTCAGGGGTTTGCTGAGTGCTGCTGGAAGTAGAAAATTAAAAACAAAATATATATATCACTTATATTGGTAGAGACCCCAAAAAGTGCGGACGCAGAGGTTACATGGCTCAGATGAAACAATGGGGAAACTGGCAACCCCAGCTATGGATCGCATGGGCAATGGGCATGAGTAATGACCATCACTCCCAGATATATATTAAGCCTGAGTTAGGACATCCAACAAGAAATGCATCAAATGGTGGCTTATCCCATAGATAAAACACCTATAATTCCAAACAGACGTACTCCAGATACCAGCAACACAAACAATTTTGTGTTGCTGTTATTTGGAGCACAAGCTGGTATCTGGTGCACATTTAATTTTCTGTCTAAGGCTCCATGTACACCGGACACTTCTGAATGATAGAAACTGACTGCTGGAAAACGTAGGTTAAAAAACGTCTGTTTAGCCGCGTTTGCATACCATGCTTATGAGCGTTTGCGTTTAGAAGCATTTTTTAAAGATAACCTCAGGAGACCTTCCAAAATACCCAGAATGCACTGAAAACCAGTAAAAAATTAACTATTTCAGACATTTTGAGAGAAAGAGAGAGCAGTATTTGTTTGTCTTTTGTTTTTGTTTTTTTTGTGGTGTTTGGATGTGTTCCAGCTCATTTCTGTGCAGAAATTATTGCAGCAGTGTCTAACATATTTTCTTTCATGCGAAACCTCAGAGTATGGTGTACCAGGTCCATTTGAGTATCGGGAAAGCGTTTTGCATGCATTTTTCATGATGAAAAAAGGCTCTGGACAGCATCTGGAAATGGAATAGTTAAAAAAAATTTCCAAACACTTATAAACACGATTAGCCACATTTAGCCACATTTACACGCATTCACAAGCGTTTGGCGTTTGAAATGCTGATAAAATCTACTCCTGTGCGCAAGTTTTCTGCGTTCAAAAAAACGACTGTAAATTCAACTGCCTGTAAACGATTGTAAATGATGATGTGTACATGGACACATAGGAAAACATTAGAGTTCAGGGGCTGCTGTAAATAATGCAGAAAAGCTCCTAAACGTGAGTTTATCAGCCGCAGTGTACATGAGCCCTTAGAGACCCAACAGAAAGTGGACCTCATGCACACTGGACATTTTTTTCAGCTGCTTCTAGGGGCGTCTGGCATTTTTCTTTCTGCCTGTAAACACCCCTGCATGTTAGCATATGTGTCCATGGCCATGCACACATAAGCATTTAGACGAGTTAACAGACAGAAAAAACCTTACTGTCAGTGTGTCCAGGAGCAGTTGCATCTAAACATGCCTAAGCACTAGATGTATTTAGCACTTGAGTGTTAGTTCATTTCATTGGCCAGAATACATTATTATTATGGCCAATTAAATGAATTAACGCCCAAGTGCTTGATGCGCCTAAATACACCTAGACAGACACACACGTGCGCTCGTCAAACATTTTTTCTGGCAAAATGCTGCATCTAGGTGGACAGGCTTCTAGGAGAGTTGACAAAATGTCCTGTGTGCATGAGGCCTTGTTGTATTCTCAGTTGTTGAGTTGAGTATACAGTATATTTCTACTGGAAAATATTTTTTTAAATCTTGCTCTCATGAGAACTCAACTACTTCCCACCTGGCATATATTATTATTATTATACAGGATTTATATAGCGCCAACAGTTTGCTCAGTGCTTTACAATATAACGGGAGACAAAACAGCAACAGTACATTTCAATACAAGAGGGATAGGAGGGCCCTGATCCTCGGAGCTTACAATCTAGGAGGGAGGGGCTAGTAGTACAAAAGGTAGTAACTGTGGGGGATGGACTGGTTGGAAGAGTAGAAGATTCCAGGATAGGCTTTCCTGAAGAGATAGGTTTTCAGAGATCGCCTAAAAGTGAGCAGAGTAGGCGATAGTCTGATAAATTGGGGTAGAGAGTTCCAGAGGATGGGAGAAGCTCTGGAGAAGTCCTGGAGACGAGCATGGGAGGAGGAGACAAGGGAGCTAGAGAGCAGGTGGTCTTGCGAGGAGCGAAGAGTACAGTTTGGGTGATATTTAGAGATAAGATGGGTCATGTAATTTGGGGCAGAGTTATAAATGCCTTTATACATTCTTGTTAATGTTTTGAATTTTATCCGTTGGGCAACGGGAAGCCAGTGGAGGGATTGGCAGAGAGGGGTGGCAAATACAGACCGGTTAGTAAGGTGGATGAGTCTGGCAGCAGCATTCATGATAGATTGAAGAGGGGATAGCCTGCGATGAGGTAGGCCAATGAGGAGGGAGTTACAATAGTCAAGGCGAGAGATATAACAAGGGAGTGCTTAGTGGTTTCCGAGGTTAGGAACGGGCGTATCTTGGAGATGTTGCGGAGGTGAAGTCTACAAGATTTGGACAGCGATTGGATTTGGGGCTGAAAGGACAGATGGGAGTCTAGGATTACACCTAGTACCCTGGCATGAGGGGAAGGACTGATGATTGTGTTATTGATCTTGATGGAAAAGTCAGGGGAGGGGACATGGGCTGGGGGGAATACTAAGAGCTCAGTTTTGGAAAGATTGAGTTTGAGGAAGTGGAGTGACATCCATGCCGATATGTCACTTAGTAGGTTAGTAATGCAAGAGGAGACTGAAGGGGTGAGGTGAGGGGTAGAAAGATAGATTTGTGTGTCATCAGCATAGAGATGGTACTTAAAGCCATGGGAGTTTATCAAGTGACCAAGGGAGGAGGTGTAGATGGAGAAGAGAAGGGGTCCAAGGACAGAACCTTGAGGGACCCCTACAGAGAGAGGGAGTGAAGAGGAGGAGGCAGCATTATAGGTAACGCTGAAGGAGTGCTGCGATAGGTAGGAGGAGAACCAGGAGAGAGCAGAGTCTCGGAGGCCAAGAGAGTGGAGTTTTTTGAGAAGGCGGGGAGGGTTAACAGTATCAAAAGCTGCAGAGAAGTCAAGTAGTAAGAGTGAATGGGGCCGCCCCTTGAAGACGTCATTCATGACGAAACTAGTAGGGCTTGCTGGATGCTGACGTTTGTGGAGAAAATTAAGTCACGAGCGCTGTAGTGAGTGTACGGGGAACAGGAGACTGTTATACCATTTGCTGTTTTATGCTGTTATACTGGTGTCGGTGAAGACACCCTTTTTGTGAGTGTAAATCTTTATTAAATTGTTGGATACTTTTATAAAAAAACTGGCTGCACCATGATTTTCTCTTTCATTCCCAAACATGACCTCGGTGGAGAGATATAAAAAGAGAGAGTGATATAATGCTCCTGGAACCATTATATTGAGTGGTGGATACCTACCTTATGGATGATTGTGTAGCTATTGATCATCACACCTGAGAAGTTGATTCATTGCATATGCTCCCAGAGCAAAAAGCGTTTTTTGCTGATCTAGAGATTGATCAGCGTGCATCTCTGGTGAGTTACCCAACTTTACTTTTGGTGGTGGATTTTGGCACAATTTCTTTGAGAGCACCTGAATTTGAAAAGGATTTGTTTGGACATTTGAAGAAATTCAGAATTGGACATTCTTTTTATATTCACAAATTTAATTATTTAAATTACTTATGCACTAAAAAATAGTTTTGCACATAATTTTGATATTTTTTGATATTAATTGAGAATAGATATATATATCTTTTGCACTAATGTTTCTACACTAAATTAGGAATAGTTTGTGGTTTTAGCGCATTCCTTTATTTAAGTTATAGCACTAAGAAATTTATTTGGTTTCTTTGAGGTGGAATTGCTGCTTTAAAGTATTAAGGGTGTGGCGCTTTTATTACACTTGTGATATCAGCGAGTATTGTTGGGGCACAAGGCAACCAATCAGAGACACACATGGAGTCACTTTAGTGAATCAGGGTGGGCAGGTAGAAGATCATGGGAATGCAGATTAAGGCAGGTTTCAGCGAGTTTCAGAGCCTTTTTACTTATGCTTTTTTGTTGCATTAGCACAAAAAAGGCTGCTTTCTGGCAACTGGGCCATGCAGCTAGTTTTTGTTCATATATTGTTGTATGCTCTGTGAGGGATTAGCCCAGTAGCGGGTTGTGCTTGACCCCCTGGATGAGTCAGAGCATGGTGAAAAAGACTCAGCACGACAGCAGGATCTTGGTGTAGAAAGTTGTGCTTTATGTACAAGTCTGGTGAACACAAGGTACATATATCAAAACAGCAAAAATAAAATACAAACAGAAAATAAAGCCTTGCCACACTGGGCATCTAACTGCAAACACAGGTTCCTATCTGCCTGTCTGGATACAGCTTACCGCTGCTGAGACACATGGCGTTCACACAGACCATCTCCAAGTCCATAATCACACAGATTATTTCTCACCACAGTATTGTTTGGTTGCTCCCTAGTCTGCCCTGCACAGCAAACTGGTTCCAGGTTGGAGCATTCTCCTTAAGCAGCCTGGGAGTTTTATACAGCCCAGAGCGCCTTAACCTGCTACAGCTGAGCTCATTAACTCATCAATGAGCAAAACAGGCTCACTACACAGCACAACAGGATAAACAGTCAGTGTAGAGCATGAATCTGGGACAAATATACCTCCCATCCTGGACACATTCCCTAGTTCTTCCTGGCTTCCTGTCACAGCTCCTTGCAACAACCACACCACCTTTTTCCAGAGCAGCCTGCATTTCTCCTGAACTTACCTGTGGGTTTTTCTTTGTATTCTGAACAATTCTTCTGGCAGTTGTTGCTGCAATCTACCTTGGTCTACCTGACCTTGGCTTTTTATCAAGAGATCCGCTTCTTATAAGTGATTGAACAATACTGACTGGCATTTTCTAGACATTTGGATATCTTTTTATATCCTTTTCCATCTTTACTGAGTTCCATTACCTTGTTATTCAGACCTTTTGACATTTATTTTCTGCTCCCCATGGCTCAGTATCTAGCCTGCTAGTGCATCCACGTGAGAGCTCATTGAATATTTATACACAGACACTAACTGCAATTTAAAAAGCCACAGATGTGGGAAATTGTTCTTTAACTGTCATTTTGACCTGTGTGTGTCACCTTGTGTGTCTGTAGCAAGGTCAAACATTTCAGGGTATGAACACTTTTGATCCGGGCCATTTGGATGATTTCTGTTATCATTATGATTTACAAAGGAGCCAAACGAGCTTTTTATGATCACTATCCTTAAATAAAATACAGTATTTTGGCATGATCAGTCATATTTTTAATGATTTTTTTTTTTAATTTCAATGCCAAAATATCATGATTTCTGTCAGGGTATGCAAATTTTTGAGCACAACTGTATATATGTATGTAGCACGTTCTTAGTGCAGCTAGTCAGAAGCTGTTTAGCAGCTCAGGTGTGATAGCCAGAGGGGTCAACTTGTGGTCAGGACTGAGAGACTCTGCATGCCAGCCCCTCTGGAATTTCCCCTTGCTCTGCGGCTTTCAGAGGAGGGCCTTGGAGGCAGTGGGTGGATCTGAGGAGTGGTTGGCTGTACTCTTGAGGGACCTCAGTCAATCCCCAACGGAAGGCTTGGCAAGGGTCTGGGACTCCCTTAAAAGTGTAGGAGCCTGCTCAATGGAGGGGAGTGTGGTGGTGGGAGAGCAAGAAAGTGGAAGGAAGATGCAAGGCTGGAGGAGGAGGGCTGTCAGGAGGCCTAGTGAAATGGGGCCTGCCTGCAAGCCTGGAGCTGGAGAGGAGGAAAGCTTGAAACTCACTGGCCCTCTGAGAGAGGACCACCTGTATGGCAGGAATGGAGCAGCCCAGCTGATAGGACTTGCAGCCGCAGCCAACCCACAAGTGGTACAGGAGAGAATCTGAGTGAGTACACCTGCACCCCCTTGGCGGATAGGGGAAGGAGCACTCTGGTGGGAAACCAGATTAGCCCCCTACTAGTGACTGTTCACCTTAATTAAAGGGACAGGAGTCAGATTCCCTGCTCAGGTAGAAAGTCTCCAAATTGCTGGGTGAAGAGGAGTTCATCTAGGGTCTGGGGTGGCACAACTAGGAGCTATTGGCTGGTATTCTAACAGAGACTGCAACAGAGAAGAGAGGTTTGTGAATAGTTTCAGGAAGTGGTCCTCAATTATTGATTCCCCCTATATCCCTGTGCAAGAATATAGGGGGACCCAATTCATCAGCAATCCCTAAGGGGGTAGTACTACATATATAGTGCTTAGTAGGGATTGGGAGAGAAGAAACAACATTTATTTTTCTGTAGCTATAGTTTATGTTTTAATTATATTTAAATTATAATTCCTGTTTTTCTTATTGATACACATTTTAAAAAGATTTCTATTTTGGGATAATCAAGAAAAGTCCACCGAAGTCTGTTTCTCTTTTAAATAGCCTCAGATAGGAAGCAGGAGTTCCAATCCTTCCCCGCTCTATCCACAACTAGATAAAACATTTTTGGCTTGACTTACACTCCCAAAAAAAGGAGCTCCAAAACAGATGTGAGCATTTTCGTCTGCTTGTATCTTGGTAACAGACCTGATGATCACATTTCAAAGATTCTGGATGCCATTTGGGAACTGATCACAAGACCTTCATGATGACAGCTTTCCCTCCAGTCCTGATTAGGACAGAACAGTGATCAGATGACCCCAGGGTTAACCTTTCTTACCCTGTGTTGAGCCTTCAGGACATGAAGAATCTGACACATAGTGCTCAGGAGACATTTCTAATGCTATATAGGTTCAAATTAGATTTTCTGGGAAAAAAAAAACATACAGTAACTGAAAGTGCCACCAGGTATTATTTGACAGCTTGTTTCCCTACACCTGACTTTACTCAACATGTACAATCCTATTCTTTTGAATTGTCTCACATAAGCTTTTTTTGTGCAGATTTAGATGTTTTTGGCCCTATAGACTTGGTACAGGTATGAGTACATCTGTAAACATGAGATACGTCTATTTGTGCACCCTGCTCTTCTCCCTTTGCCCCCTTTGCCCAGCTTAGAAAACAAATATCTGAAGCTTGATACACATGCAAAAACGTCTGCAAAACACATGTCTAACACCTGCAAAAAATGCTTAAAAGTCACCAAGAATACATGATCTTCAGGTGTGAATGCAGGTTTATGGTGGACACACATGCTTTATAAAAGAATTAATTTATTTTCTGATTGACCTCCTCTGATAGGAACAATCAATCTATACCCATTTGGTCGATATGACACACATTGGGAGGTGGATTTCGATTGATAGTTAAAGGCTAAGGGGGAGATTTACTAAGACTGGTGCACTCAGAATCTGGTGCAGCTGTGCATGGTAGCCAAGCAGCTTCAAACTTCAGCTTGTTCAATTAACGCGGAGTCCAGTTGATGAAAAAAAAAACTGTAAACTGTAGCTGCTGACTTTTAAAATACAGACACTTACCTGTCCCACGATCCAGCGGTATCCTCACCACAGTTGGCTTCATCAGCCGTCTTCTCTCCCCAGTGCCGGCATCTTCAGTGTGGGCACCCAGCTGTGACAGCTTGTGGCTTCAGAGCCTGGTGCCCACTGCGCATGTGCAAGAAGTAGCGCTACGCTTTGTGAATGGTCCCGTAGTCTTCTGAGACCTGTCACATGTCCCAGAATACTACAGGGAGGGAGGGGGAGGACAACATCTGCTTCCGATAGCCTAGGCAAGCTCAGCGTAAGTGGGAGTGGGTACCTGTCAAATTTGGGTACGCGACCCCCCTCTTAACGGGGAGCTGGGGACAAGGGCTTAAAGCAGAAACTTCCCCTTTTGGGTGGAGCTCCGCTTTATGCTTTGAAAATAAAACCTGAAAGTTGGTTGGTTTTCTATGTGAAGTTGCACCAGATTTTGCACGCTCCAGTTTTAGTAAATAACCCCCTAAGTTCACTTTTTTTTTTCTAAAATCCAGCTCACCTATGTACCAATATACCATTAATGTATCTCAGTTGCAGAAAAATAAAAAATTTTCTGTGATTTTGAGAAAAAAGGCCTTACCTTAGCCCTTGCTGTATTTCTTAGAAAGCTTCATCACTTGCTCGTATGTAGATTTAGGACAGAGAAACGAGTAAGACACAGGAAGGAATTTACCGGCTGACCTCACTAGAACACACATCCTGCACTGACCTCATTAAAAAACCCACCCCCTTCACCCATCAACTAGTTTTTCACAGCATCTCAAGCATCTCTCCACGTATGCATTTGCCTGCCTTCCCCAGTGTCCCTTCAGACAGGCTAAGGTTGCAAGCATACAGCCCACAGGACACCCCTGATGTAGTGCAAGGGCCTGCCTGAATGGATTCAGAGTGAGCGGATAGATGCTGTGTCCTCTTAATATATAGTTTTAGCAAATCTAAAGGAGATTGTACAATCAGATTGTATAGTGTATGGCCACATTTATACACCTAAAATTACCTAGTTGCGTTTTAAATGTCATTAATTATTAACAGCACACCAAACACAGGAGCAAACACACATTTTGCCACATGAAAATACAAACATACCAGAACGCACCTTTGGGGGCGGGGTGGAGCGGGTACCCGGATTTGACAGGTACCCGCTACCACTTCCGGTCCAATCGCCTAGGCGACTGGAAGCGGAAGGTGTCCTCCCTCCCTGTAGTCTTTTGGGATGTGTGACAGGTCCCAGAAGACTACAGGACCATTCATGGAGCAGAGTACTACTCACGCATGCGCAGTGAGTGCCCGGCTGTGAAGCCGCAAGCTGCCACAGCTGGGTGCCTACACTGAAGATGCCGGCGTCTGGAACACAGGACGGCCAGTGATACAGGCTGCGGGGGACACACCCCGGGACCGAGGGACATGTAAGTGGCTGTTTTTTAAAAGTCAGCAGCTACAGTTTTTGTGATGCTGACTTTTATTTTTTGATAGGGTGAGTGGAACTCCGCTTTAAGTACAGAAGCTGTTGATCTTGTCAGAAATGCCCCCACCCCCCAAAACGACCCCTTTTTGGAAAGTAGACACCCCAAACTATTTGCTGACAGGCATGTTGAATCAATAGAAGAATTAATTTTTTTACCACAAGTATTTGGAAAATGACAAAAAATATATATTTTTTTTTTTTACACAAAATTGTCACTTAAATGATTTACTGCTCACACATGCCATGGGTATATGTGGAATTACTCCCCAAATACATTCTGCTACTTCTCCCAAGTATGTGAGAGACGTTTTGGCAGTCTAGCCAAGTACAGGACCGCAAAAAAAAATGTTTTTGTCATTTTCCAGAAACTTGTGGGAAAAAAATAAACCTTCCATGGACTCAATATGCCTCTCAGCAGATAGCTTAGGGTGTTTACTTTCCGAAAAGGGGTCATTTGAGGGTGTTTGTACTATCCTGGTATTTTAGCACCTCAAGAAATGTAATGGGCAGTCAGAAAGTAAAAGCTGTGTAAATTCCATTATCTATATCATAGTTTGTAGATGCTATAACTTTCACACAAAGCAATCACTAAACACTTACTGGGATTTTTTTAACCAAAAACATGTAGCAGAATACATTTTGGCCTAAATTTATGATGAAATTTTAGTTTTTTGGGATATTTTTATGACCGAAATGAGAAAATTCTGTTTTTTTTTTAAAAAAAAAATGTTTCTTCAAAAATTTTTTCTCTGTTTATAGCGCCAAAAATAAAAAGCGCACAGCTGATCAAATACCACCAAAATAAAGCTCTGTTTTGTGTGAAAAAAAGGACATAAATTTCATTTATATACCATATTGAATGACCACGCAATTGTCCGTTAAACTACCACAGCGCTGTATAGCAAACAAAAAGGCGTAAATTGCAGTATCTATACCATAGTTTGTAGACACTGTAACTTTCACACAAAGCAATCAATATACACTTATTGGGATTTTTTTTTTTACCAAAAACATGTAGCAGAATACATTTTAGCCTAAATTTATAACCAACTTTGAGTTTACTATATTTTTTTCATAGCTGAAAGTAAAAAAATATTATTTTTCTTCAAAAATTTTTGGTCTTTTTTTGTTTATAGCATGAAAAATAAAAAGCGCACAGGTGATCAAACACCACCGAAAGAAAGCTCTATTTGTGTGAAAAAAAGGATGTAAATTTCCTTTGGGTGCAGCATTGCATGACCATGCAATTATCAGTTGAATTAGTGCAGCACCAAGCAGCAGAAAGAGGCCTGGTCAGGAAGGGGGGTAAATCCTCAGGAGGGCAAGTGGTTAAGAAGTCTGCATACCCTTAGTTCTTAAAACTGTGTATTGCCCCTTTAGCATCAATGACGATGTGCAGTCTTTTCTAATAGTTGTCTATGAGGCTCAGAAATTCTTGTAGGTGGTATAGCTGCCCATTCATTTTGGTAAAATGGCTTCTGGTCATGCAAAGTCTTTGGTCATCTTACCTGAACCACACGTTTGAGATCTCCCAAGTGGCTCACCTTTTTCTGCTGTAACTGGAGGGTCAACATGGCCTTGTGCTTAGGGTCATTGTCATGCTGAAAAGTTCAAGAGCGTCCCATGTGCAGTTTTTGTGCAGAAAAATGTAAATTGTCCGCCAGTATTTTGCATTTATCTTTCTGTCAATTTTCACAAGATTCTCCGTGCCTTTAGAGCTCACACACTCACAAAACATCAGTGAGCCACCAGCAGGCTTCACAGTGGGGATGGTATTCTTGTCACTATAGACCTTTGTGACACCTCTTCAAACATAGCACAAACATATCACTTATGATTGTGACCATAAAGCTCGATTTTTCTATCATCACTCCAGTATACAGTGCGCCAGAAATTGTGTGGCGTGTCAAAGTGTTGTCAGACATATTGTAACTGGGCTTTCTTTGTGGTATTGGCGCAGTAAAGGCTTCTTTTCTGGCAACTCGACCACACAGTTTATTTTTGCTCAAGTATGATGTATTGTGATCCTTGAAACAATTAAACTGTCTTTTTCCAGAGCAGCATGTGTTTCTCTTGAGGTTACCTGTGGGTTTTCTTTGTATCCTGAACAATTCTGGCAGTTGTGGTTGCAATCTTTCTTAATCTATCTGACCTTGGCTTGGTATCAAGAGAACCCTGAATTTTCCACTTCTTAATAAGTGATTGAACAGTACTGACTGGCATATTCAAAGGCTTTGGATATATTTTTATATCCTTTTCCATATTTATAAAGTTCCATTACCTTGTTACTCAGGTCTCTTGACAGTTCTTTTCTGCTACCCATGACTCAGTATCTATCCTGCTCAGTGCATCCAACTGAGGGCTAAAAAACCCATACATAGACAAAAAACCACAGATGTGGGAAATTAACCCTTAATTGCCATTTTAATCTGTGTGTGTCACCTTGTGTGTCTGCACCAAGGCCAAACATTTCAGGGTATGTAAACTTTTGATCAGGGACATTTGGGTGATTTCTGCTATCATTATGATTTTAAAAGGAGCCCAACAACTACAGTATGTGATAATAAAGAAGACATTTGTTTGGCATGATCAGTCATATTTTCAATATCAATGCCAAAGTTTCACAATTCCTGCCAGGGTATGCAAACTTTTGAGCACAACTGTAACTGCAGACAATCCTAATCAGATAGCTGAACTTACCAAACAAATGCCATCCAAGAACATGTTTACTGCATGCACCATGTTCAAGCAGACAATATGATGCAGTAGATGTTGGTATTTAAAAGTGAAAAAAAACAATTATTTCCTAGCCTCAGTGTGTATCTTGCAGGAAAGATAACGTGCTTACAATGAGGAATTTGCTAGACATGTGAGTTTCATTTAGTTATGATTTATTTTTTCGGACTAAAATTTCATTTTAGGAGATTCGGATGTATACAGTACAAATCTTTGAATGGACATAGTAATGAATGTCAAAGAATCCAAAAAAAGTGAAATTAACGAATGCATTAGTTTCATTAGTTTTGTTCAGATGACTTCATAGGATAGTAGTTTGGGCCCATAGAGAAATTAATTCATTTTTCAAATTACTTTGATAATTTGGATTTGGATAACAAATGGATCCTAATTTTGTTCCATTCTTTAATTCGGATGCATATGCACCTGTCGATACTGTCCAATCAGTTCATGTCATTTCTCTTGGTGGGTTTTTACTAGCATCTGAAAATATTGAATCCTTCCAATTTGAATATGTCCAGTTCAACAATATATTGAATATAAAAAAACCCCAAATCTCCTCTTAATCTCCTCTTCTCAAGAGAGAATAAATTCAGTTCCTCTAATCTTTCCTCATAGCTGAGCTACTCCATGCCTCGTATCAGTTTAGTTGCCCTGCTCTGTACATTCTCAAGTTCCCCAATGTTCTTTTTGTGAATTGGTGCCCAAAACTGAACTGCATATTCCAGATGAGGTGTTACTAATGATTTGTACAGGGGTAATATGATAGCTCTCTCTCTGGCGTCTATACCTTTTAATACAAGAGAGGATTTTGCTCACTTTAGAAACCACAGCTTGGCATTGCATGCCATTATTAAGCTTGTGATCTACCAGAACTCCCAGATCCTACTCCACCATTGATTCCCCCAGTTGTAGTCCCCCTAGTATGTATGATGCATTGCATTGGCCGTATAACTTTTGGAGGCAACACAGTGCCTCTGGTGGGATTTGAAAGCTCAACTCCACTTTATTATCTCTAGGACATGTTCAGAGACCATTCAATTAAGCCATTTGTTCAAATCTAATGAACACACAGTATTGGGGCAACATAAGTAATTTTACAGTGACTGCATAAATGGGGTAATTGTATCGACATATGTACCATCCCAGCAATCTATCTTGTGGTCTTTACTTTACTATCATTCCATGCCTCACAAAAAAAGGGCTACGTGAGCTCAGAAATCAGTTGTTTCAGTCTGTTTTAGCAGTCAGTAATGCAAGTAAATATATTTGAAATGAAAGACAAACATTTGATGAATTAGATATACAGCCAACTCGAATTAAGTCTAAGTGACAGCTGAGACAATATGCGCCACGTCAATGCTTATGGGTGGTCAGCATGAACCTGCTGGCAAGGGACACCATAGATCAACAAGTAGATGAGTAGGCAATCTGTCCAAGACCTGAACTGAAAGATTCTCATTTACTAGTAACAGAACCTGTCATTACCAATCAGAGCAAAGGCATTTGGAGTAATTTCTGTCAGCACAATTACAGAAACATATCTATACTAATTACTATAAGTATTTGCATGTACAGTACAGTATTATATGACTTGCATTGCACTTTGTATTATGCAGTTCATAAGCATTGCATATACAACTGGTGTAATTTCTATCTCTGCTGACTTTGACTTGCCATCCCCTTGTGTCTATGACAGATAGACTTCTGGATTTTTTTAAACTGTGGGGATTTACTAATCTCTACTGTCTGAGTTTGTAAATACATCTAAATATTTTATGTATGCACTTCCTGCCCAGGGGGTCATTGGCTTTGAAACCCTGAAAAGAGGAAGTGGAGGGAGAGAGAAAAAGTCTCAGCCATATGTCCTGTCCATGCTACTAAATGTTGGACCAGAAAAGACTATTTTTTTGCAAGTTTTCCTATTATCTAATAGTTTAACTGCATCTGCTGAGTGTATATCTAATTATTTATGTGACAGTCAGAGTATCTCTGCCCTATCCTTGTTTTTATTTTACATGCACAGTGCAATATGGTTAGGTCTGTGCTACTATATGTATATTAGTAAGTGAATCTGTTTATTAAAATAGAGTTTATATAACACTCTTATTTTAGACACTACTAGGGAGGGATGGCCGATGAGAAGCTCTGTTCCAGGCCTTGTTGGACAATAGTTGTAGGATAGCCCTCAT